ATGTTAGTTGGACTAAGTTGGTGTTTGGTTGGTTGATTGGAATAAGTCTAAAAAAGAAATGGACGTTGCCCTAAAATTATTTTTCAGTGATTTTCATTCTTATTCCTCGCAAACATTGAACTCGAATATAAAACTTGTGACCTGTTACCTAATAGTCCAAGCGCAAAATTTGTGCACCAAAAACTGACTTGAAACTCATTCTCAACTTTTTGAGCATCGAACACTTGACATGTGCTCAAAAACTTGATTTCAATTAGGAACACCATAACTTAGTTGATTTTTGTTTCATTTCATTCATCCCAACGAGAAAATGAGCATCGGTATATGAACTTTAATTGAATTGAAACTTTTGTATTTGTACTAAAAATTCGTAAATATGATCCCTGAACTTGACATTATGTGGAACAATGATTATCTTGGATAACTAATGCTAGAATGTCCCTTATTTTTCTCCTTAAACTCTTTATTTATTTCTGATGAATATTCTAACAGTATTACCCAAAAAGACTATGTCTTTATTTTTTAACAAATCTAAGAATTAATATTCGTATTTTTTAGTTCAAAGACCAAAATTCTAATTGGAAAATTTCATACACTAATACTCTCTAATTTTCTTTATCTTTTTTCCCAGCCAAACATCATTACCAAACATGGAATAACATATAGTTTTTGGATTTGGATCCTCTCCTAAGCCCAAGGAGATGATCCTCTTGATCAAGAAGTGTGAGCCGTTGGATTTTCATTCAACAACTATAATTATTATAACTTTAAAGGAACTCTCATATTTGTAGCCGGTAGATTTTTATCAAACGACCCACAATTCTTAGTTAGGAAAATCCTCTCTTTGAACTCAGGAGAGGATCCAAATCCCTAGTTTTTAATTAATTCCACTAATCATGATCGTGGCAAAGAGCAAACAGTATTTTGGACATAAATTAGTGGAAATATGAACAACAATAAAGAATGAAAATGGCTGACAAGTGTTTACACAGGTGGGGCATGTGTCAATTCTTTGCATTTCTGTTGAATGACAAGCATACCATTAATCTAATGGAGTAGATTATCTTTTTTTTTTAAAAAAAAATTAATGAAAATAGTTTAAAATTTTTGAGTTTTAATGATAACGACAAAATAAAATGGTAAAGTGAATAGTACCAGATTTGACTTTTTAATATACAAATATGATTTTTCGTTAAAGTAAATAGTACAATAGGTTTTTCGTTAAAACTCTTTTTTTTTTTTTCCTCCTCTTCCCTTCCCTCCTATTTGAACGATCACGTTTAAACCACGTCAACATCTTATATTAATTTTTATAGAAAAGAAAAAGATAAAATAGAAAATGTGAGATGAGGGAATAAAAGGAGATGGAAAGAGAAGGGAAGAGAATACTAGTCCTAATCTAATTCCACCGAATACTGCTAATATACGCATAATACAAATTAATTTTCAAATACCAACGAAAAAGATGGAATTTTTAAAGAAAAGAGAAAAAGAAACCCTAGCTAGGGTTTTGATTTTTGTATTGGAAGTTGAAAGTTGAAAGTGGTGGATCATCTTATAAGTAATGTTTAATCACCATCGATCGGCAGCAGCTGGCTAATGGGTGGAGGACACGGCTTTGTGCCGTGCAAAATGAGAAAACACCACGTTCGCTTGGAGACCCACATCCACATGGACGTCGACGTCGATGTTGTTGGCCCCCTCTTCTCTTCTGGTTTTTCTTTCATTTTTAGTCGTGTCGGTTGTCGGTGGCATTTTTCTTGACTCAGCAGCTCTCTACTTTGGATTTTGGAACCATGCTGAAGGTTTCTTGGGCTTTAGGGTTCTTTTTTTTTTTTTCCTTTGGGTTGATGTTTATTGGGCTTTAGTTTGACCCAAGCCTCCTAAATTGAGAATTGTTCGATCGTCTTTCTCCGAGGAAGAGGCGAAACATATCAACTTGAACTCGGGATGACTATTCGAAATCTTGAAAGTTCTTCATTGCGCGGTCAGAATCTGGTTTCCCGCTTCATATATATATACTCATACTATCAACTCAAACCAAAATTGAACCAAATTAACTATTAACACCGGTCTAGTTTTGGATCGATTTTACTTTGAATGTAAGTCGAAGTATAAACTATTAATCATAGACTATTGAGATCCTTTTTCTGTATTTGCGTGTTATTGTTGGAAGTAAAAATTATTAATTACTCACGTTATATTTGCATAAGTGTCGCCATGTCTGTATGCTAGTTATATATACGTTGTCCCTTGAATTTTGTTGAATGAATCTCTGATTGAGAAATAATGTTTGGATTTAATTAAGACGGTTTAAACAATCCAAGTGGCATTACCACTTAGTACTATGTCTAGTAGTATTATTATTCATTTATAAGTAAGAGGTTTTAAATTCGATTATCATCAAAGAAGAATTGAAACACATTAATGCTTATGATGCTAAGCCTACCCCATCTTCCTAATGTACATAATATCGTTTGTTATAAAGAAAAAAAAAAACAATACAAGTGGCATTTTCCCCACTCCAACTTTATTTGATTGACCCAATTTGAATGATTGAGAAAGTGGGCTTGGCCCAACCCAACGGCTAGTTTTGTAAGAATACCCTTTTGTAAAGTCAAATAATTTGCATCTCTTTTTTTCTTTTAACAAGGTGTAGTTTTGGAATCAACTTTATGAAGAGATTTGGGAAGAAATAGCAAAGGTCGATGTTGCACAACACCCGACAATGCACCTTGTGAGAGACAAAATTATAACCCGATGGCCTGATCAACAAGAGCAACACATGACACCTGTAAAGTTTTTAACCCATGACTTTGGCACGAAGTAATCAAAAAGGTTATCAACGTAATTCCCTGAAGAACGAGTCTGTAATCCATCAGCAAACTAAAAGAAATCTTAAAGGGTTGAATTGGTTAATGATTGAATGTATACAATATTTCAATGCATACGGATGACTTAAATAAATATTACAACCGCTTGAAACAACTCAAAGGACTTTTAATAATTAAAACAACATTAATTAAACGTTAATCGATGAAAACCGAAATGTTCAATTTTTATTATGAAGCTTTAAATACTATTTTAGAAATTGAAACGACTCTCGATGACCAAAATCTATTATATATCATAACAAATCAATAAGCTTGACTCGTGACATAGTTATTTTTCCGAAAAGGTTTCACGGATTCTCAAAACCCTAGTCTTTTTCCTATCTGGCATGAATTTTATCGATCAGAATTGGGTCCAGTCACAATCCAAATGCCTGCACATCACTTTTGCTTGGCAGCAAAACTCACATTGTCAGTTGTTGGAAATATAAAGTGTATCTCTCTCTCTTTTTCCATTTTCCCTTTTTTTTCCCCCAAAGAAACGATAGTGTTCCTTTTTCCGGTTAAGAAGGTTACGTAGAGACAACAATTAACAAAAAGGGAAAATGCCATACCTTATCAACAACAAAAAGAAGAAAAGCTACTTCTACTTACTTACACATCATCCCCTCATACGGTTATACCTCTTCCATACCGGTTGTTTTTTCGGTTTAAAAGCCAGAAAAGGGAGGGATGGGTCGGATGGCCATATAATCGAGCCCCAACCAATTGCCTTGTGTGTATCACATGCGTAGGATTTGAACAAATAAATGTAGGATCTGAAAGAGAAAGTATAATGTGTAACTTTCGGTAGATGACAACTCTTACACTGAATGAGACTGAAAGGTTGTGTGGAATCAAAATATAAAAAAAAAATCTGGTACTTTGGTGAGAAATATCCTAGAGATGATGGGTTCGGACGCTCATTGTCCAAGTTTTTCTATGTTGATGCACTTAATCATGAACATCAAATAGTAGATTCTTTTTGCATTGAAGCCTAGGTTATTCTCATTCTTTAAGAAATTATATATTTGGTGTTGGCCGGAAAAAGATAGTATGTAAACGAAATGAATATTTGGAGAAGTTTGTGAATGTACTGAGAAAATTCACACGTGGTGTTATCATTTCACATGGTATATAATATGATTGAACTATAGGGTTTATATGTCTCACTTTTAAATATACTAAAGTAAATATACATTTTATAATTTGATTAGAATAATAACATCACGTGTCGATGTTTAGAACACACCTAAAATTTCCTCACTTGTAAATACCCTTACTATCTAAAATTCTCTTTACACCCAATAAACCAATCGATTAATATAATAAATAGAAACAAAATTCTAAATGAAACCTCACAAGATCCGTCGACCCTCCCTCCCACACAAACAAGCTCTCGGTCGAACAAGAGAAATATAACAAAAACAGAGTGAATTTTATGTAGAAAGATGATGAGGAGAAGAACCGCCAGCTCCCCCCTATTGGCCATTGCATAGGCTTTCAATGCACCACCAACAACAAGAACAACCCAATTCATCACACAATCTCTCTCAAAATAAACCCAGATTGAATCCATTAAACTTCTGGAGAAATTAGACCATCATGAAAATCAACCAAAATAATTGCATTAAAATTTGACTGTAATCTAATTTTTGGTTAATGATGGTGTTGGGTCTATTTATAAACTTTTACTTTTTGTTTTATATAATTTGTACTTAACGGGTCATTTAGTACTACGATTTAGTAGTATTATCGATTCTCATTAAATGTAAATTTGAACTACATTACTGCTAACTAATTGTAAGCCTTAACCTATTCTCTCATCCTTTAGTGTTAGTAATATCATTTGTTAAAAAAAAAAAAATTATTCTTAACGGTAATTGTATCACAGTGCAGAAAATTTACATTTCAATTTTAAGTCAAGTGCAAAGAAATAAAAGTGGGATCAAATACAATTTCTTTTTGCTTTTGTATTTAGGGCATGTAGATGCAGGTAACTTTATTTATTTTTTTTTTTTCCCATTGAATGGATGTAGGTAACGTTATTTTATTTTATTATTGCACAGATGTAGGCAACTTGGAGCTCTTTCCAGAACACCAGAGACACAATGGCGATGAATAATACGACCCTATTTCCAGTTTAACGACAAAAGCAGGAAGAAGAAGACAAAAAGTGTACGTATATAATATATATACATGTATACACTTTGGTAGAAGCAAACAAAAGCTGCCAATTCGAAACCAAAAACATTTGGACGATTCTGCAGCTACTTGCTATGCTATGCACACGTAAACATCTATCCTTATTCCGATCTTTCTCTTGCTTTCTCCTTCCCAAATCCTGATATGTTAAAATTATAAATATCCCTTTTATTATTTCCCTCTTCCAATCAACCCATCATAAAAGTTTCAATCTTTTCCATAAAAAAAAAAAAAAAAAAAGCACTTTAATTCCAAATTCTAATGGAAAAAACCCAGTACCAAGAGAATAACCGGAGCCGTTTCGGAGTTGATGATCACGACGGCGGTGATGATGAGTTCAGGTACCTGATCGTACGGCCGGAGAAGGGAGGGGTGAGGGACTTGTTCAGGTACTCGGTGTTGGCGGACGTGGATAGTGGGGCCCGGTTTCTGGAAAGCTCAGACGAAGAGGCGGTGGGTGGAGTTGCAGAGGTTCACAGATGGGTCATTGTGGTGTCGATAATTGCTCGGAAAATAATTGGGTTTTTTGGGAAGCCGATGGAGTGGACTGGCTACGTTGTGGACTTCATCCTCAACCTCTTGTCTCTCAATGGCGGCGTCTTTGGCTTGCTCACTGCACCGCTTCGTGGTAAAAACACTGTGTCTTTTATATTAAATATTTGTAACCCATTTGTTAGTATTATATGTCAATTGTGTGTGTTTTAATGGTGTTTGGATTTCTGAGGACTTGTTATTTGCACTCTAAATTAGGAGAAAATTTTGGATAGAGACACTCTAACTACGTGATTTGAATGATATCCTTGTGTAATTTGGTCCCACCTTAACTCTGTTGGTTCCCTTTCATGTGAGAGGTGTCCTAGCTCTTGTGAAGTTTCTTTCCTAAACTATACATCACATGGTCCTCCCTTATATGTTTTTCTTCAAAAGAGTGGAATTCGCGATGATTATTTAGGCGTGCCAATATGTCTTTACGTTTTTGCAAAATTACTTGGTGAAAACATTCGAGGCCATTTTCACTAATAGATGTGTTCGTTTTAACTTGCTAGCATTGTCTTCATGGTAAACGGAAGTTTACAATTTTACCATTTTTTGTCTTCTTAATTGGAAGAATGTACTGCAGATTGTTTCTCCATATTAATCCTCGATGTGTAATTAGTAACTATAAATATTCGTGATTGGGGAAGCAGGAACGGTGGTGGTGCCACAGAGGGGCACAGAGACTTTCATAAGCACAACTGGACATTTAGATGGGAGGATAGACCTCTACAGTGGCGAAAACTTAGCAGAAAATGTAGTTGCTTCTCTTTCTGAAGGAAGCGGTATAAAAGCTGAACTGGATAACCGGGGTCTCATGGATCTCTGTATGATGGCTGCCAAGTTAGCGTACGAGAATGCCCAAGTTGTTAGATATATTGTGGTTGATCATTGGAAGGCAAGCTATTCTTGTTCAGTCCAGCTCTCTCTTTGGTACATTCGTGGCTAGTTAATCGTAATATATACTAACTAGTTTAATTTTGACAACGAAAGCAGATGCATTTTGTGGATTTCTACAATTGCTGGAATGGTAAGGAGTATATTTTGATTCTTGAATGACTTTTGAATTTGGTCATCAATACTTTCGAATTTGTAAGTTATAAGTTTAATAGGTCAATTGAATATTTCTTCTCCTTTATCGGATGATGAATGATAGATTTCCAAAAGCAGATGTCCACCCAAGTGTTCATACTTTGTGACAAGCCTAAAGATGCAAACTTGATATTGATCAGCTTCAGAGGCACAGAACCTTTTGATGCCGATGATTGGAGTACCGATTTTGACTACTCTTGGTATGAAATTCCTAAGTTGGGGAAAGTGCACATGGGATTCTTAGAAGCCTTAGGCTTGGGCGATAGAACGAATGCTGCAACCTTCTACAATCAACTGATAGCGATACCCAACAAATTCACTCCTGAAAGTGGTGTTGATGGTAGCAAAAGATCTTCCGAAGGTACCCAAGCATTGCCCTCAGATATCATGGAACAAGGTGGACGTGATCCATATGACAAGGTAGTTCCACCGGACATGGTGAAGAAGTCTGCATACTATGCTGTAAGAAGAAAGCTCAAAAGCTTACTAAAGGAGCACAAAAATGCAAAATTCGTGGTTACCGGACATAGCCTAGGCGGCGCGCTTGCCATACTGTTCCCATCAGTGCTGGTGTTGCATGAGGAGATGGAGGTGATGCAGAGGTTGCTTGGTGTGTACACATTTGGGCAGCCCAGGGTTGGTAATAGGAAACTGGGGAGGTACATGGAAGCCCATTTAAATAATCCGGTGCCAAAGTACTTCAGGGTTGTCTACTGCAACGATCTTGTGCCCCGGTTGCCTTACGATGACAAAACTTTCTTGTTTAAGCACTTTGGGGTGTGCCTTTACTATGACAGCCTATACAATGAACAAGTACGTACTCAATCCTTCACGTACACTTTTTCTGTTTTGGTTTTTGCATTACTGTTAATTGTCCTTGAATTCGTTCCTGTTAACTTATCGTCCAGTAAACTAGCAGGCCGAATCATACGTAGGCAATATAAAGCATTTTACGCTGCAGTTCCTTGTTTACACATTGCGGCATGCTTATTAAAATCGGCACAATAGCAAGTTTCTGTTTGGTTAATTAATTTTCTCAATCTTTCAAACTCTAAACTCGATTCATTGGGGACGTAGTTTTATGTTTCATCCTTTTCTTTTACTGAATGATTTTCTTCGTCTTTGATGTGTGCATATTTGAAGAGAGTGGAGGAGGAGCCAAACCGTAACTACTTTGGAATGAGATATCTGATACCAGTATATCTCAATGCTGTTTGGGAGCTAATAAGAGGCTTAACAATGGGCTACACATGTGGACCCGAGTACAGAGAGGGTTGGTTCTCCATTTTGCTAAGGATCATAGGACTTGTGGCTCCTGGTCTCTCTGCACATTCCCCCACAAATTACATCAATTCCGTGAGGCTTGGAAAGAACCGTGTTATTCAGATGTCCTCTTTTTAAGCAGAGAAAACTTACTTGACACAGGGTTATTGTGCCCTTCTCTCTTCTCATGTGAGATGGGCACAGTGGCTCGGTACAATCCCGTGCCAAGCCAGTTCACTTTATCTTGCAAATGATAGTAAGGATTCTGGTCAAATGTAAGATGGAAAAGGAGATGGCTTTCTTAAGTGTACAAATAATGTGCATTTTCATGCTGTTTTGCGTTGTCAAATTCCTTAGCACAAAATCCAGTTGGATCATGCTGTCAAATTCTCCATCGTTGTCCGCGAACCAAATTTGAATTTAGGCAGAGTGTATTATACATTGATGGAATAAAAAAGACACAACTTGTACACATGCTTATATCCATCTGTATACTCAAATTCAATTTAGTCCCTCGTACTATGGATTTGGATCCTCTTAAAGGTAATTGGTCGGGATCCTTCTAATCAGTGTGAGTGGACTGTTGAATTTTTATCTAATGGCTACAATGATTATAATTTTTAAAAGACTCTCTGTTTATAATCGTCGAATAAAAATTCAATAGCTTACTAACACTGATTAAAAAATTCTGACTAGTTGCCTCGAGAGGATCCAAATCCCCAGACTATGGACCCATCATTCTTGGCTTTATCCTTAGGGAAAATGGTTCTGGGTCTTTTGGAACTTGAAAGAATTTGCTCTTTTCCGACTGGAACCCATCCATGCCTCTCTTACTTTCTGGTGGCATATACTTTGCAAACGTTGGAAAATGTGTTGAGCTTGAATATTGCTGACACGTATAGTTCTCGTTTTTCTATGAAAGGGTAATTGGGGGATTTAGGTAATTTTTTGCTCTAATATCTAGAAGAAATGTGGACACCATGATTAAACCCTACCTGCAAAATACACGTACAAAGAAGCATAGCACAGCACTTTTGGTGATTGCATCGTGCACCTTACTGCTGTATGCAATTGTGCGCACTGACAGCTTGACACATAAGAGCCTTTGCCAACCTTTTGTCATCTTTTTGTTTTCTTTCCAAAAAGTATCAAATACATAAACAACCCCATTGATGTATCTCTTTACGTGTCCAACATTACAATTCTCGTACTTATCATTAGTTACAAACACACGTTACAAAATGAATAGAGAAATCTTGTTTATTCTCTCTTTAAAATGAATAAAGCAATATTAAAAAATGAACACATTTGTTTTTAACAACAATACAACTAAGTGTGCTTGCATATGTAAATAAGTTATAACTAATTGTGTCAAGTCTAGTATTGTCTAAACGAGTAAAGACATTTTTACAACACCACAAGACCAAACGTGCAAATCCACACCAAAGCCCATGTAGGGTCCAAACCCACACTGCAGTCCATATTTACATTATAAATAAAAATAAAAATAACGGCAATTTTGGAACTAAACCACATTCCAAGTTTAGAATAGAGCAATAACTTGAGGTTGAGGTTGAATGTTCACATTTTAACATGTTATCTGACTATTCACGTGTTGGGCAGCCCAATGGCCACACTTGCTCTATCTTTCTTAAATACGTAACTTGTTGAGAAAATCTCATTTCTTTTCCGTTTTCTTCAATGTCCCCTTATTTATTAACATGATTGGTTATTTAGTTAGGGCATACAATCCTTTAGAACTTCAATTTTAGGTTTAAAGTCTTAGTTCTAAATGATTGATTCGCACTTTATAATAATCAATCATGTCGATAAAAGGGATTGAAGTTAAAGAAAATGTAGTAGAATTTAGATTATCTCAACGCGTTGACAGGACGCTTTGGGATTCACTTCATGGCGACTGGAAATTTTTGTATGCAAGGGAGAAAAGTATAGTCATATATGCAGAATTAATGCTCTTGGAATTTTTGTACATATCTTTCTATTCATAATTTGTGCCTTCCTACACATATGCTTTAATGGTGATTGGGGAAGCTGGAAAAGTGATGGTGCCACAAAGGGACGCAGAGACTTTCATAAGTATATTTGGTCACTTAGATGGGAGGGTAGACCTCTGCAAGGGTGAAAACTTAGCAAAAGACATAGCCGCTCCCATTTCTGAAGAAACAAGCGTGAAATCGGGAGTCCGACTCTTATGGACCTTTGCATTATGGCTTCCAAGTTAGCATATGAGAATGACCAAGTCATTAGAAAAGTTGTGGTAGACAATTGGAAGGCAATTTATATCTGTGGGAAAACTCTACTGTAATGATCTTCTGCCCCGGTTGCCTTATGATTACGAAAACTTCATGTTTAAGCATTTCGAGGTGTGCCTTCACTACGACAGTTGTTACATCGAACATGTAAGTCTTCACTATTCAAGCCTTTGATTTTACATTCCGTTTAAGAAATTGTTATTAGCACTTCAAAATAGTCATTCTGCATCCTTCTCTCGTATATAATTTAAATTTCTTATCTTCTAGTACTTACTTATTTTCTTCTTTGACATGCATTTTTGAAGAGATTGGAGGATGAGCCAAGCAACAATTACTTTGGAATGAGATACCTAATACCAATATCTGAACGCTGTTTGGGAGCTCATAAGAAGCTTAGCAATGGGCTATAATATTGTAAAAAATGTATCAATAACATGTTGATACATTTTGCTACCGACATGTTAATTACTAATGTTATCAATGGCTTATCAACATCATATTGACAGTCCGTCTTTTAGTAAAAAACGAACGTCCTATCCAGAGAAAAATTGATTAAACTAGAATCTCTTCTTGCCTAAAATATCACCTCAAAAAGCCATTCATATTCCAATTCATCGTCAAGTTCAGTCTTTGGCACAGTCGCAACAATCTTCTTTTGAATAACTACAAAAATTCGATGTGTATATTACTCTTATACAAAGAACAAACCATATGTAATAATACAGCAGATGCAGTAAACAGAAAATTCCCCTGCATGTCAGGTGGTTTATTAGTATGCAGTTTCCTAATTTTATTACACATAAAAATTGCAACAAAAGCTAATGGATTTTCTGACCTTTTGGCACCCATATAATTGACCATCACCAAAAACCCAAATGTCAATCTCTTTTGCAGATACCCAGCATCAAGCATGTGAGCAAATGCTGCTGAATTTGCCTTCTGTGTATCGATGACGCATTGATACGTTTTGCAGATATCCGTGTATTTTCTTCAGACTGTATGGGCTGATTGCATGACACTCAGGTCCAAATTCTTGAGCCTCAGTACAGATTCTACATGTCCTTTCAGAGTGTGTATCTCCCCGAGCCTGGCAATTTCAGCGCGCCGCCTGGCCTGTTCTGCAATCAAAGAAGAACGCTTGCCGGACCTGTTGATCTCAAAGTCTTGCAACCCTTGTAAGCTCTTCTGAGAAAGTATCCATTTAGCTGCCCGATCTTCCTTCCCATAGTCTTTCTTACTAGAGAAAGCTGTCTGTTGAAGATCAAAAGCAACATAGAAATCAGAAGTTAGCATTTAAAGCTGAATGCTAGAAAATTTCAATGCAACTTCGAACATTGCACAAACCTTTCTTTCGAATAACAGATTCCAGGCATCTCCGGTCAATGCATAGCGAATTATGAATTTAATGATGTCCAAAGGAATGTAGAAAATCAGACTGTACAACCAGATGACACCGGCCCATCCCCATCCAATGCCGCTGATATATGCAAAGCTGATTTTTGCATATACAGCAATCACAGTTGCCACCTGATATTTGATAGAAACAAATTTTCAATTCCTGAAATGTAACTCATATTGTGCGGAAATTTTCTTATAGGCAATCGAAATAGGCATACCAGTTGAGCCAACACAAAAGCGCACATCAACATAGTTCCGGGCCTCTCAAGAAATGACCACCCCTGGCTTCTTGTCACAAATATGAGAGCCTGGCTGATGATACTGACTTGCAGATATACAGCAGATGAAACTTCCTCGCTATTGCTCGATAAATCTCTTAAATTGAAGGTGCTCTGTAAGCGATGTAAAATCAGTAAGCATCGTAGAGGTAAACCGAGTTAATGTATCTTCTGCTGCTTATTTTTTCAGAGGATCTTAGAAAACAAAGTCAGGAAGCAGCGTTTCTGTGTTTCATACCTCAAAGAAGTCAGTGTCAATAACAACCCAGTAGAATAATACCGTAACTAAAGCAAGGTATGTGCCAATGACAATGCCAGTAGCAAATATCTCTTTCAGCTTCCAACTATCAGGCTTTGGGGAGGGCTTTACGCGATCCTGCGAAATTGTCATGATGGTTCCTGCATTTAAAATTTAAATACACTGTCTAGTACTCATTTTCGATAATTGTCTGTGAATATCTGAACATAAATGATGTCCAAATTCGTTTGCATCTGTTATATTTTTCTTAATATTCTTCTACATGATCTTAAATTTCTTTTCGAATGTTGCTTGATCCTATTAGAATAAAAGGAATCAATATTAACGCTAACGCAGTTCAATATATTACCGTCATTCAGTATGGCTATTATCAGAACCATGAAAGGTGGGAAGTCATATTCCCAGATCAATGCAAGAAGCACGAAACCAAGCTGCAGAAGGATGAAGTTGAAAACATTATGGAAAGCTGAAACGTAACCAATCTTGAAAGACTTAGCTTCAAGTCTAAAAAATTAATTGAAGATTGAGACATAAATAGAAAACATACCACAATCCTAATGGTTATGGAGACAGCATATATCTGCGTATGCACACAAACTAATCAGTTTACTATCGAACTAATGCAGAAACAAAGAACAAAGGCAAACAAACAAAGAAGAAAAAGATTGCTACTCAACCGTGTAATTCTTCATTCTTTGGAATATAGCGCGACTGGTGAGGACAGCACTGACTATAACACTCAATCCAGGCTCAGTTAAGACTATATCAGAAGCACTTCTTGCAGCATCTGTGGAATCTGCCACTGCTATACCAATGTCTGCTTTCTTTAAAGCAGGAGCATCGTTTACTCCGTCTCCAGTCATCCCAACGACGTGCTTCTTTTCTTGTAAAATCTTTACAATTTCGTACTTGTGTTCTGAAAGTTGCACAGCAAGGATAAGCTAATTGAGTGATTCAGAGAGAATGTACTTAATTCGTGAGATAGGAGTTCAGTTAATTACCAGGGAAGACACCAGCAAAGCCATCAGCCTTCTCAATCAAATCTTCCACCGGAAGAGCTTCATGTTCTTCTACATGACGGCCTAATAACGAAGAGGAGGGGTACATGTTTGTTCCCATACCAAGTCGCCGCCCTGTTTCCTTTGCAATTGCCAACTGATCACCTAATGTGAGAACAACTCAAGAATCAGTATCTATCTTTGACATTTATGCTCAAGGGTTTTCGATTTCAATCAAAAAGACGACAATCACAATTGTATGTGAGGCCAAGATGATGCATAAAAATGTACCTGTAATCATTTTCACACAGACTCCGAGGTTAAGCGCTCTACGGATGGTCTCAGCACTGTCATGCCTTGGAGGATCAAACAAGGGCAACAACCCAGCAAATATCCATGGACCTCCAGGGCTATCCTTAGTTTTTTCGGGAACTTCCTGGCAGTAGCACAATTTGGGAGTTGTAAAATGTCAGAAATTTCAACCGGTGCTTGAAAAAACTGTTGTTACCCAAATTTAGAACATAGGTTGTCTGGCATACCTGATAAGCAACTCCAAGAGACCGCAATCCCCTTTCAGCGAATTTGTCAATAATCGAATGCACCCTTCCAGCAATCTTGTCTTTCTCCGGGCATAGATCTAGAATCTGATTTGAGGATGACAATTAAAACAAAAAACATAGAATTCACGTTTTCTGCACTGCTACAGCTATAACTTATAAATTGTAAACCTAATTGTGTTTTCAGTACTTTCCTAACTACAACATTAGAAGTCTATATATTAAAGGGAAGAATACTTGAGAAACAAGTTAAGTTTAGGGTTCTTGTTCTCTGAACACATCAGTACCTGTTCCGGAGCTCCTTTGCTAGCCCGATACCATTTACCTTCCATATCAATGTATGTAATAGCAGTACGCTTGTCCACCGGATTGAAGGGCAGAAAATGCACTTCAGTAATGCCTGCTCGTGCCTATAGATGAAGCGGTACTTTTATGCATAAGTAACCAGCAGCATAGAACAGAAAACAAACAAAACACCGGGGTTCAAGTGTAATCCTATATCCCTACCTCCTTTGGATCAGCAAGCATATTGACGATGGCTGCATCAATAGCGTCCTGGTTCTCCAGTCTAGCTGCTCTGGCTGCAAACATGATAACCGCGTCTTTATCTAGATCTTTGTTGAAAACCTGCAAATAATATGTTTTTTATGTATCTATACCAAACATGCCATATCAAGGACACTTAATATTAAAATTTGCCTCCATGGTTAGAATTAAGTAATTATTACGGAGTCAGCTTTCATACCTCGACTAGGTTTCTATCAACAGTGAGGCGATTCAGAGTGAGAGTTCCGGTTTTGTCACTGCAGAGGACATCCATTCCTGCCATCTCTTCAATTGCTGTCATCCTTTTCGTAATGGCACCCTAAGTTGCAAAATAAAAGACAAAAGGTATGCAAACAATGTCAGTGTGAAGATTTCAGATTATGCTATATAAGTTGATAGATTTCTTTAGAAGCATAAAATTTCTTGAAGGTTCCACAATATCATGGACTTGAAGCTATTAAGAGATGCACCTGTTGAGAAAGTCGATGAGAACCAATGGCAAGTGTGACAGATAACACCGTTGGCATAGCGATTGGAATTCCTCCAATTAAGAGAACAAGAAGGTTGTTGATTCCATCCCTGTAAGAGCGGTGCTGTACTGGGAACATGACAATGATTTCAAGAATCATTCCCACAGCAATAGAGCAAATGCAGAAATTCCCAATGGCGGTAAGTACCTGCAGAAAAATCACGTTACTGGTGTAAAATCACGATTTCAACTTTTGAACCATGATGAGGTGCATGCTAGGCTATTTAATTACCTGCTGGAAATGTCCAACAACTTCAGTGGAGTCCACCAAATGTGCTGCCCTTCCGAAAAAGGAGTTAACTCCGGTTGCGATCACAACAGCTTCAATCTCTCCATGCTTACACGTTGAACCAGAAAATACTTGATCACCTGTCTTCTTGGTGACAGCTAGAGACTCTCCTGTAAGAGCTGACTGCCAGAAACAAATTCAAAAATACTACTTCATTTCCGGATTCATAATAAATTTATATCAAAAAATTACAAGCATATCAATCAGATATCCATTTATCAACAAAAGCTGGCTTTTCAAGCACTTGCCTGGTCAACTTTCAGGGCATCTCCTTCAAGCAGACGAGCATCAGCCGGAATTATGTCCCCGAGCTTAATGCTAATTATGTCACCTGGTACTAAAATAGATGCATCTTGCTCTGTCCAGCGCCCATCTCTAAGAACCTGCATAAAAGACGTGAGCTAATAAGCTATCCTCTGCCTGAAGACGATATTCTCTGAGCCAAAGGCATCAAGTAAACCAGCATACCCTTGTCTTTGGAGCTAAGCGATCCATTAGAGCTGATGCAGCATTCCCTGCATTATTCTCCTCTATGAAACTAATCGTTGAGTTGATGATTAGCAGGATAATAATACCTACAAAGTCCTGCCAATCAGGACCCTCACCCTGGAAATAACATTTCATTACAGTACAAGGTTATAAATCGGAATTTACATTGCCCTGAATCGAAAATGAATACTCAGTTTAAGAGTCTACTTACTCCACCATTAGCGAGGACAAGCGCCATTACAGCTGCAGCTTCCATGACCCATGACAAGGGGTTCCACATAAAACTAAGGAACTTCAAAAATTTGTTCTCCTGCATTGAAATTAATAGACGAGCATTTAATTATGCTAGGAACAACTTAAGTGATGAATCTAAAGAAAGCATGTTTAGGAACTGCGGTGCTT